CACTCCAGATCCCTCTCAGTGACATTACTGTCACCAGATTTCTGAACCAGAAAGTTTATACGATCACACCATGGGATCACCACAAAGCGCAGATTTCCTGTACTTATTATCCCTCTTAATGTCACTATTTGAAGAGGCAGAGGATGAAATCTTGGGGTTGAAAAAACCCAAATTCTAAGCAGATCCTTAGCAGGGACACCTCCCACTATCCCAGGTTGTTCAGAGCCCTGTCCAACCTGGCCTTGAACAGTTCCAGGGATCGGGCAGCCACGGCTTCTCTGGGCAACCTGTGCCAGGGCCTCCCCACCTTCACAGGGAAGATTTCCTTCCTCATATGCAATCTAAACCTCCTCTGTGTCAGTGTAAAGCCATTGCCCCTTGTCCTGTCACTATATGGTTTTGTAAAATAATTGATTTGATCTTTCCAGATACAACTCTGGCTGAGCCCTACAATGCTCTAACACACGTTTGAGACAGCACTGACATTTTAATAAATACACTCCATTTACCTTTGAGGAAAAATACTCAACTGGAAGGAAAAAAGAACCCTGATGGCTGCATTTGTTTAATTTTATAAAGAGACAGCTGTACTTCTTGTTCAGTGAAGTGCCGCTCATGATTCTCCAGCCAGGAGCACCAAAATCCACAGCACTATTTAAAGCAAGTCTGCCAATTTAATTATTTGCCACAGAAAATTGCAGGGAGGAGGGCAGAAGGTTTCTTTTGGTAAGAAATTCAAGCTTCATGTCTCTAGACTGAAATATTCACTTTCTAGGAAACAAATATGTCATTCTGAGCAGAGGAGATGCATTCTAGGATCCAGGGGTAAAAAAAAAAATCACAACAAATGCAATAAAAATCTTCATGGGGGCTGGAAGTGGGAGAGCAGCGCTTCTGAAGGAACAGGACAAGTGTATTTGTGACTGCACTATTTGTCACCACATTCCTTTGGAAGATTTTTTCCTTTTTGTGTTTGAATGGAAAACAACCAGTAAAAGCTCATTAAATATATATATATATATATAGTTAAACTCCATTTGCCTAACCATCAGATAAAATGATTGACTCACTTTTTTAGGATAGACCTTCTTTTCCCTCACTATTACAATGACTTTTTGAGAGGAGTCACTATGCTCACACACACTCAAAACAGACCTTTGGCTGGATTCATCAATCAGCTTTTAAACACAAAGTTTAAAAGTAACAACAACTCTTTTTACTTTTTTTCTGTTGTCCAAATTATGAAGAGGAATCAAAATGATCAAGCAATGTTTATATGAAGCCATTCTGGTTTTCACAAAATGCACAGAAAACTTAGTGGAGAATGGGCTATCAAATGCACGTTTTTAAAAGAGACAGGGATGAATCTTGGAAAAGCTCATCTCTCCTGGCAAAAATATTTTTAAAACAAGAGTCATGGTTCTCTATTTAAACTGTGTGCTGTGGTGTATTTTTGTTTTGGCGAGGGCTTTGTTACTCATGATTAAACAATCACTTCTCTTATTTGTATTAAAGCCAAATCTTTTTTATCACTTGCAAACAGTTTGAGTTAAAAAGAAAATAAAGCAGAGCTAGATATAACTCATAAAAGGTAGTACCAAGTGTTCTTTAAGATCCCAGTGAGAGATGATTTCACTCTCCGGAAACTTGTAACTGAATAGTTTTATGTCTGTCCTGAACAGAATTCCAGTGACCCACCCTCCAGCTAAGGCAATTCCAACTCCTTCTAAGTTACAGATACAGACAATTTTAGTATCCAAAGTGATATTATTCTCTCTTGCATTCAACAAATTACATACACATTTTTGAAAATAAGCCTTGTTCGGGCACCAAATGAGACAACTCTCCCTTTTTTTTTTCTTTTGTTTTAAAGAATGAGGGGGCATTTGAGACTGAGATTTAACTTCAAACAGTAATTTAAAAAAACCCAAAACCATAACCAACCAAAAATCCCTAAAATTCTTACTTTGGGTAGTCATTTCCTGTTCTGCAGTGATGAAGAGATGGGCAGCAGGGGAAAGGGAAGGATCTCACAGTGCAAGAACAGGTAACACAAATGTTATTTATCAGGAGTACAGCCCCAGAGAGAGACTTTTTACTGGAAGAGCTCCAATTTCTAAGGAATCAAGGAGCATTAGCCGGGCAAGTTTTAGTGACACAGTGTCATGGCCAAAGGATTAGACACTGGATATGGAACAGAACCTCTTACAAAGGCTCATAGCCCAGTATAACTTGATTTTTTTATGCTAAAATAGCCCCAGAACATAAAAAAAAATAAAAGAAAAAAAACCCCAAGAAATTTGTATCCTGAAGTCGTTATTGAATTTTCATGATATGGGGGAAGAGTTGGAAAGTGCATAGTTGGAAATCTTTTTGTTGCTTTTATCACAGCAGAAGATCAGGAGACAGGACCATGCATCCGATCAAGTGACAGCAAAAGGCACTTTTTAAAATACAAGAAGTTCCATTTAAGGACAACACACTCTGACTGCCAGGATGAGTGAACACTGCTACAGTTAGGTGTCCACACTTGTGCACATTGAGAACCCAACTGCCCCTGCTCCTGAGCAATCTGCTCTGCCTGGCCCTACTCTGAGCAGCAGAGCTGGATAGTGTCCAAAGATGCCTTCTAACCACAGCTCTACACTAATTTTGATTTTCCTCTTTTTGAAGTACTGGACAAAGCTTTATTTTTCACATGTCTAGAATAGAGGCAGCTTCATTTGTCCATGAGAAGCTTCTTAACTATGGTGTCTTAATCCAGGTATCTTTGGCTTGTGCTTTCCTCAGTGGATATGGCTGTAAAATAAGCCAGTTTTCAGATATTCCAGACACTGCACTTCAAGAAAATAATATATTCTTGCAATTCACATTTCAGGCTCAGTGAAGAAGACTGTGTTTTGTGTGTTGTATGCTTTAAGTCAGGGACCTAATAAACTGGAAGGCACAACAAAACAAAAGGAGTATCTCACAAACTTTACAGACAGACAAAATAATCCTGAGTACAGCCAAGTTATGTGACTGTTAAAGGAGCCAGACTGCAAAGTAAAAAATCCCATCAGAGCCAAGCGAGGAGGAAGCCAACTAAGACTGGCTACTTTCCACCACCAAATGTCAGGTGAGATTTAGAGGGATCCATTTTCGTAGATTCCCATTCAAATTCAAGTGACAATTACTCCTGGTAAACTGGGACCTACAGCCAAATCACAGGGGCAGCCAGATGGTTCTGTCCTGATGAATGGCCTGACAGGAGAGCTGGGAAAGCCCTCCCTGCCAAAGACACACACAGGTGTAATTCATATGGTGCTTGATACTGTCCTAGCTGTCCCAGCAAGAGAGGAGTTGTTCTAGGGGTTTTCTAGAGAGGGTATTTGCCTTGGGAAGGAATTTCCAAAGGATTATCTTGATTTGACTCTGCTTGCAGCTGAAATTTATCTCAGCATGGAAGCAGTGTCACCTGTCCCAGACAAACTGGTGACGTCTTACAGAAAATGAAGTCCGCAGAGCTGACAAAACCTGTGTGCATTTCCAAGGCTGAAGGAGTCTTTATAGAGTTCAGGCTAATAACTGAGGACACAGAAGAAGACCCAAGGAGAAATTACACAGGAGGACATTAAGTTACTGTCTAGAACTGGGAGTCTGACATTTTTGTGGGAGAAGGCAAAGGAAACAGAATGAAAGGGATATTGAAAACAAAGTGAAGAACAGAAGTGTCACAACCACTTCATTATTTCTAAACATGTATCACGTAATCATGACTAGAAAATGATCACACTAGCAGAATTGTTTCTCAAAACTTTTGAGAATGTTTCTCTGCAGGAAGAAAATGAGATATGGAAGCAACTGATGAACCAATTACCACTAAACAAAAAGCTGCAACTAAACCAGTAAAGAAACATTTAACAGTTTAACATCAACTACAAGATTTGAGAGACAAACAGATTTTCTACAATTTTTAAGTGAAGCTTTAACAGCTATTTGGTGCATACAGATAAGCACACGCTAGCATTTTGGTCAATCTTCTTGAAGTATAAAATAAATAAATGCCAGTCTTCCACTCCATCAGATGTAAGTAGATGGAAGTTATATTTAGAAGTTTAATATTTAAATAAACAACAATTTCAGAGAAACTGACTTTGTGCTTACAGGGAGAATACCTTGCTGACATTCACAGATCTAATTTTCTATTAGAAAATCATTATTTTCAAATTGAGTCAGACTGCTAATACAATCTTGCAAAACTGCTGGTATACTGAAAAATGCAGAAGCTCACCTTTAAACTATTAATTTTAGGTAAAACATAGGTTTTAATGCCTAAATTTAAGTAGTATATAAAGCAAATTATAACATTTTAGTGAAGAATAAGTATCAGCATAGGAAATACTGACGGGATAAGGTTGAGGCTTATTCAGGATGCCCTTAATCACTGAGAAATATCTGGCCAGACTTTCTTGTGGTGGAGCCTGAAAGATTTTATTTTTCTCTTCTAAACTGTTCAGCAAAGGGATAATAGTGTAAAGACTTCCAAGTTACCCTTTCATGAGCAATGAGTTATGTGGCATGCAGGAGTCAGAGGAGACCCTGAAGGATCTATTTCATTGATCTATACTATTCCCAATATAGCTAAAGATACAGTGGGTATAATTTCAATGAACATCATCAGCCAACCAATTATATTGCACTGCTTTTATATTTTCTTTGGTACTCAGAATATTGACAATTTAGCACCTTCCTTAGTCCAACAACCAATGGCAGCATAATTATTATTATATAAAGAATAAATTTTTACTGAAGGGAAGGTTATAGATTTCAAAATATTTCTTCTGTGTCTTTTCAGTCTCTCTGGCAGGTGAAAAATCCAAGGCTACAAGTTTATACTGCAAGATTATCCCACTGTGCACTGTATTTTCTGCTCTGCTGGTACCCAGTGCTCCCCCACCTCCCCTGGGTTTAGCTTCACAAGAAAAGCTTCACCCCATTTCCCATCTGGCAGTACTCACCAATAGCCTGAGCAAGGGCTATTACAACTTCCTGGCATGTTGTGACTTCGGTGACCCCACACACGATTCTCTGCACTCCATCCACCCATACTTTGAGCTCCATGGTTCACCAGATCATCCAAGACCATGAGTGCAAATCAGTCAAGTCATTCTTGCAGCTACACCAGAGACATGCAGCTGACTTCCTGCAGCAGCTGGAACAGAGAAAAATCCTGGTGTTTAGAGGAAAGAATCACCAATTTGAAAAGTTGACAACTTCACCTTGACATCTATCAGGTAGAAGAGCCAACACAACCTCCTTTCTTTGAAAACAACAACAAGAACCACACATTTATGCATTTTGGGGGCAGAGTGGCTGGAAAGTGCCCAGCAGAAAAGGACAGCAGGTGCTGGTCAACAGCAGCTGAATATGAGCCGGCTGTGCCCAGGTGGGCAAGAGGGTCATTGGCACCTGGGCTGGGTCAGCAATGGTGTGGCCAGCAGAGCCAGCGCAGTGACTGTCCCCCTGTTGTGGGCACTGGTGAGGCCACTCAAATCTGTGTCCAGTTCTGGGCTTCTCACTTCAGGAAGGACATGGAGGGGCTGCAGCATGTCCAGGGAAGGGAACAGAGCTGGGGAAGGGGCTGGAGCACAAGTCTGATAAGGAGCAGCTGAGGGAGCTGGGCTGGAGAAAAGGAGGTTCAGATGGGGAACCTTCTGGCTCTCCACAACTCCCTGACAGGAGGGGAGAACCAGGGACTGGGTGGGCTCTGCTCCCAGGGAACAGCCTCAAGTTGTGCCACAGGAGGCTCAGGTTGGATATCCAGAGGAATTTAATAATGAAAGGCTTGTCAAGCACTGGAAGGGGCTGCCCAGGGAGGTTCATAGTCCCTACCACTGGAGGTGTCCAAGAAAGGACTGGATGTGGCACTCAATGCTCTGGACTGGGTGACAAGGTGGGGATCAGGCACAGGTTGGACTAGGTGTTCTTGTCCAACCTCAGTAATTCTGTGGTTGCACTCTAGGATCCCATGCTTTAACAATGTCTACCTCTTCTTCAGACTTACCCAAAGCTTCATTACAGTTTATTTCCTTAAATTTTATGAGTTGTTACAAAAATAGCACCCAGAGAAAAAGCACTAAATAACTCCAGAATAAACTCATGAAAGTCTCCAGTAGCAGGTGCCCTTACTCCTTTATATGCTGCCTGATAGTTTCCAGGGACTAGTAAGGATCCTTTCATTGTTTGTTCAATAATTTCTATCAGGTGGAGCTGCAGAAAAACAAGAGGGAAACATTTTTAATTACAGCCATCCATGAGAGGCTTTTGTCTCCCTGAAGAAGGAGCTGAATGTTCTTATTCCCAAAAAACCTATGCATTTTGTAGCAGAACCCAGAGAGCAAAGTGAGGAGACAGATTGCTTCTCTCTCCCTCTAAAACAAAGAGATACTTCAGGGAAAGTGTTCTAGGGGTGGTTTAACCCCTGCCAGCACTGTGCTGTGAGGAACCAGATGCTGTCTAATGTCTTTTCCTAGGTTTTTCCATAGGCTCTGCAATGATACTATGCAAAAAAAAAAAACCAAAAGCCTCGAAAAATAAAAAAAAAAAAAAAAAAAAAAAAAAAAAAAAAAATCATAGTAAACCCACTAAAAACTGTTGTCTTCAAAAGATAGAATGTTCCCTCAAAAATGAAACAAAAACCAAGTCATCAGTAATGATGATTAAATCTTACAAAACCCCAGAAACTAACAAGAAAGCAAACACCCAAAAACCACCCACAAACCAACCAACAACAAAAAACCAAAATCAAATAAAGAAAACCTAATGAGGCAGCTGGGCTGTTTAAGCAGATAGAGGGAAAATAAACGGTGATAACACGATAAAAGAAGCTCATGTACTCAGGTAATCCCATATGGATAAAGTGATAAAACTAAAGACAATATTTTTAAAGAATTAAGTACCAGGAAAATGGGTAACACAGGGATGGAGTAAAAGAAATCTGAAAATTAGGGTAGATTAGCGAAGATAGTCAGGGTTACACAAGAAACATGGAATCTGATGATGCTGATGGATTGAACAGAACTGCACTGCATGGAGGCAGAAATGGTGCAGAGAACGCTGTGCAAATAGCTAGTGTGTTCACATTTGCAGTGTAACCAGAGCTGCTTTTTCCTGGGGATGTGAACATCTCTTCCTGCATCTAAAAGATGCACCACTGCAGCCCCCAGACTAAAGGGGAAAAAATGACTTCCCATCTACAACCAAACAGTTCACCCAGCAGATGACAAATACTAACACATGATGCAGAGGACACCTGGAAGATCCTCACCTGACAGGCTGGGACAGCAACAACCTCAGAGCTGGTTAGAGCCCCCCCACACCAACAGAATGGGCTTTAGCAGAAAAGCACCAAGCAGTAAAGTCAGGCCAACAAACACCCCCAAAATCCTGGCAAAACCTACCTGTTCAGAAGTATAGGTAAAGTTTGTAAGTAAAACCAGGTCTCAAATAGAGTTGCATACTCAATAGAAAAGTGATCACTTTTAAGAATATCGATGTATACAGAAATAGTCTTTTGAGACATGAACAAGAACCTGAAAATCCAAAGAGGTGTCGATAAACCCACATAAAGCTAGGTAATTCAAAGAAAACATCTAACTGCACAAACATTAATCATGTACAAACAAAGAAACACTTCACTCAGGTTAACACCATTTTAATGTACCAATAAACTATGCAGAAGAAAATCTTTTACCAGCCTGTAACATAGCAGTGACTGAGAAAACACCTCACAGGCCTCATCAGTGACCTCTGCTATTTATTCTTGGACCAGTTGTCTTCAGAAATAAACAGACCTCACATTCCAAGCCCAGCTGTAAGGAACTTTATTAATTAACTTAATAACTTGCTGAGGGTTGAACAGTTGAGACTTCCTGGCACTGACCAAGCCATCTCTCCATGTGACAACGCACATGTCAGCAAAGCATTCGACAGCTCTTATTGTTTTTCTGTCTGTCAACATCCAAAGTATTACCTCAATTTAGCAAGCCAGCAAATGCATTTTTTTCTCCCAGTCAGCACACAATGTACAGTCTTGTGCTCAGTGCAGATCAGGTTTGGTCATTTGTTTTCCTACAGTCCATCTTAAAAAAAAAGCAAAGACTAAAGAGAAGCATCATATAACATCATATAATAAGGAACTATTTGCTGACACTTCCAAGTTTGAAGAAAGCATTCACCAAAGATGCAGATGATCTGAACAAAGTGCCTTTGAATCAGTTCAAGCTCAGGGGAAACATTCCCATTCATTTATTACAAGACAAATAGTTTTAATAGACCAAATAAAATTAAGAATTTGTGGTACATGCATCCCTCAGACCAACAGGCAGGGGAGAATTAAAGGAATGTGTTAATAAAAGGGCTGCCCAGGTGAAGTCCCCATCCCTGGAGGTGTTCATGAACAACTGGATGCGGCACTCAGTGCTCTGGTTTAGTTGACAAGGTGGGGATCAATCACAGGTGGGACTCAATGATCTCGGAGGTCTTTTCCTCCATGGATTCTGGGATTCCATGTGCCCCACAAGAGCTCACAGGATTCCCTTTTGGGGACCTGCCACTAGGAACACACACTCACATCAGAAATGTAAGATCTCTGTGCTGAAATCACTGTGTCTCATTAGAGTTTCTAAGCAAAGCTCATCGGTACTAAGTAAAAAAAAAAAAAAAAAAAAAATAGATCTAGGACTGGTTTGGTTTCTAGGATTGTGCAGTAGAAGTTCACAGAGAGATCTGAAAACCAGAAAATTTTCTGGCCACGTGCTTATCCTCTGCTTCCCAAATATAACTCTGTAGCACTGTTTTATTAGTATTTGGTTTTCCTTTATAGGTATTCTGTTCTTCATCTGCTGTTAGTTAACTTTCATACCAGTAAAAGCTGATTTGCCTCCCCACTGATGGTCATCCAACAGCTCCAAATATATTTTTCGACCTGAAATCTGTGCTCATAATGCACATTGTGCTTTTATCTTAGAGGAAGCAAAATAAGCCTTACCTATAACACTGTGCAAATTTCTTTCTGAAATCAGTGGAAGGGCTGGGGGTGGGGGGGGTGGAGGAAATTGCACTTCGGGTTTCTCAATCCCGTGAGTTCAAAACCAGTTCACCTTATGCAATTAATTTCAGCAATGACTGGGAATAGGAATGAAAAACTAATTTACCGAGAGGCATGCAAGCCAAGGCATGCCTGGGATCACAGCTTTTCTCCAGTTTGTCAGCCATCAGCTCCACAGCCACACACAGTTGTGCTTGGAACCAAGCACTGGAAATGTGGCATTCCACAGCTACTTCCTTCCCCCACTTCTCCATTACCTTGCCTGAAGCTTCCCCAATTACCTTGTTTACCATGCATTAAGCATTTTCCCTAAATCCCCCTTAGCTGATGGTATCTTACTCTTTCAGGTATTTGTTCAGTTTTTCAGTGTAAAGAAAATCCAGCATATATATCCATATATACACACACACAAATACATATATAGCATATATATGCTACTATTTAGCTATCTCTCCACAACTTGTTTACAAAATACAGAAAAGGCTGAAGCTTCACAGAAGACAAGCAGATCAGACTAAGTGCAAAGGACTTTTTTAGCATTTAGGAAGAAACAATATTCCAAGCAGATGTTTGCAAGACATCTTGCCATTAACGTTAAGTCACAAGGAAACCCAAGATGCCAATTTCCCCTCATTTCTACTTTTTACAAGGTTCACACTGCCTGAAAGCATCATGCACCTCAAATCAGGGCTAAAATCCTGCTGCAGCCAAATTTGACCAACCAGTTCAGTGACTTTCTGTAGCCCCAGCAAGTCACCAGCATGTTGTTTAATACACTTGAAAGTCAGGGTGCTTTCATTTGTAATTAGCAATAACCAAACATTGTTTGGAGTTTGGCATTTACCCTTTATTTTCCATTCCCTGTACACTATGGCAAAGTTGTGCTCCTTGTTTTTCCCTACTATGACACCAGATAGGGCCCTGGACAAACAAGCAGCTTGTCCAACCTGTGCTGTGACCCATTAATAAGAATAATTACTCAGTGCTAGTAAGGCCTGATTGGAAAACACCAAACAAATGAGCACAAAGAAGCCAGTCCAGATACCCAGAAAGTTTCCAAGCCATCTAGAAGAGCATGAACAGGGATGCATTGGAAGGTCTTCCCAACCAGAAGAATCCAGGTATGGAGCCAAGGAACATTTTCCAGATGAAGCTAACTGTGAATATAGAATTGGCTACTGGAAATAAGCTCCCTAGTATTTATCAAAAAGCCTCCTCCTATAGACTGATGAAGAAGAAATATCCTACAAGATATGCAGCCTCCCATCAGTAAATGGGCAAAAATATTTCATTTCAGGTTCAAGTAAAAAATATCAAGTGAAAGTCTTCTGCAGACAAAACTTTTACTGAAAGGAACAGGTTATGGGTTTGAAATCAGCCCACCACTTTCTTTGAAAAGAAGAGTGTTTACACTGAGTTTTTTTGTGGGACTAACCCTCGTAGAGGTTATTTTTTTGCTATTCCAGAAGAATGCTCTGAGATAATAAGCACTGCTTGAAACAAATAAACCAGAGGTCCCACAACCATGACGGTGACAGTGTTGAGAACAAGCCTGAGAGTGAGTTTAGGACCAAGGAATTTTCCTCCATGAGACTGGTCAAGAGATGTTCTGACATCTGTGTCAAACAGGCCAAAATCCTGATGCCACAAGTGATATCTAAACACACACACCCTCACCTGTGGGAGGACAGCACAGCACCAACACAGGAGTTTGTACAAGCATTGATGTGCAGGCAGTTTGGTTGTGTGTTTCTGGCAACAAAGGCTGCATGAAATCATGCCTCTGGATAACCCAAAATTCCCCAAGTCGCAGTTTCCCAGACAAATTACCAGTTGACTTCTATCCAGGAACCCTCCGCTGGCTAGAACATGAACTACTGCTTGCATTGCAATTTCTCCTGCTGCAATACAGCCAACAATTTGGTGGGAAAAAATGAGGGAAAGAAACACTGTTCTGAAGCACTGAATGCTACAACTGGTATTTTGCCTAATTACAGAACGTTTCTGACCTCTCCCTGAGCTACAATCTCTCCTTGAGCTGCAATCTTTACAGCACAGAAAAAACAAATTGTCTCTTCTCTTTGTAATGGTGAGAATTAGCTAGAAGGAATTAACTTGTTTTCTTTTGGGGGTGAGAGGAGGAGGTAAAGCATTCATCCACGCTTCTTGTCAGCTCTTACAAAGATACACTTTGTTAATGGCAACTATTCAGTTATTACCTGAAATGATTCTTCCACCTTGGAAATTTTATTTTTGTCTTCAGTATTTTAATTCTAAGACTGATCTCTGACTTCAGCAAGTGTGTTAAGCCTTTAGGACATGTTCCTGCACAATGTTTTAATCTAAATCACATGTGACAATCTGAAGAAACCAGTGACATGAATTAGTAAAGATTTAACTGCAGCACAGCACAAAACATTCAGCCAACCTGGGATACAGGCGATGACATAATTACACACCTTCACGATTATTAACTGTGTCTAAAATTCTCATGGCTTTCATAGAAAAGTGAGTTCCAACCAGCTGTCACAAACACAGATTGATGGCTGGAGTGATAGTGCTCCCATCACAGTCTGTAACGCTTTGTATCTTTGGAGCTACCCGGCTTGACCCAACTGTGCTGCAAAATATTTTCAAATCTCCACAAAATATTGGAAAGGAAGCAAGCCAGCAGGTAAGCCAAGGAAACAGATGGCTTACTAAAGTTCCTTTGTATTTGGTCACTGCTTAGAGCATAACCTCGCATTTTTAACAGTAAGTTTCACACTCCTGCACTTGAATTAATTCAACAGGAACAACAACTCTGAAATTAATACTCTCCCTAAGATTAGACATAAAAAAGTATCTCAAATCCACATGGACTTGTGGGACAAAACCCAAAGGTGTTTTGGAAATGGTGACAGCACTCAAGTCAGTTTCAAGGATCCTTGCCTTCTATTAGATTCCAGTCAGAGTTTCTAAAGCAGAAATTTAAACATTTAAAATTTAGGAGCATTATAGTTAGGATATGTACCGGCAAATCAAAACAATATCTGATGCAGCACTTCTTTCAGCTCTTGAGACAGGATTTACTGTGATACAAGTATGAATTCAATTCAAGCAGGTTTACTCACTAAATCCCAACCCTGAATCTGTTTTAGGATTAGAACTGAAGTATCACCTTCATTTTACACACAGCACTCCTTTTCCTCATTCTCTAGCTTAGCTACTAACAAACAAAATCGTCAATATGAAACATCACAATCCTAGAGAAGCAGGATTGAGTGGATGCATCCTAGAAAGCCTCACTGGCGACCACTGTTCTAGGAAGGACTGGATCATAGAATTATACAATGGTCTCAGTTGGAAGGGACCTAAAAGATCACCCAGTTCCCACTCCCTGCCATGGGGAGGGGCACTTTCCACTATGCCAGGTTGCTCCAAGCCCCATCCAGCCTGGCCTTGGACACTTCCAGGGATCCAGGGGCAGCCACAGCTTCTCTGGGCAACCATAGCCTCACAGGGAATAATTTCTTCCTCATATCCAATTTAAACCTGCTCTACGTCAGTGTGAACCCATTGCCCCTTGTCCTGTCACTCTAGGCCCTTGTAAAGAGGATCTCCATCTTTCCTTTGGGCTTCCTTCAGGCGCTGGAAGGCCACAATGAGGTCACCCCAAAGCCTTCTCTTCTCCAGGCTGAATTCCCTCAGCCTTTCCTCTTAGCAGAGCTGCTCCATCCCTCTGATCCCCTTGGTGTCCCAAAGCAGACTGGCTCCAGCAGGATAGCTGGTGGCAGCACAGCAGAGGTTCAGACAGCAGCTGGGATGGATTTATTCTGTGGCAGAGGAATATCATTTTCCAGATATGTTAGCCAAGGAGCCTGCACTGCATATAAATGCTGTGACAAACAGCTCAAAAAAAGACACGTGCATTAAATAAACATCTCCTGATTCATCATCTCAGTTAACAGGCAGACATTTACTGCACTGTAATGTCTTCCAAAGCTGTGTAAGTATTTGTTCCTCATTAGTAGCAAATATATAGTGCATTTG